GGCTCACGCCTGTCATCCTAGCACTCTGGGAGGCCGAGGAGGGAGGACCACTTGAGGCCAGGAGTTGGAGACCAGCCTGAGCAAGAGTGAGACCCCGTCTCTACTATAAATAGAAAAATTAATTGGCCAACTAAAAATATATATTAGAAAAAAATGAGCCGGGCATGGTGGCGCATGCCTGTAGTCCCAGCTACTCGGGAGGAGGCTGAGGCAGGAGGATCGCTTGAGGCCAGGAATTGGAGGCTGCTGTGAGCGAGGCTGACGCCACGGCACTCACTCTAGCCTGGGCAACAGAGCGAGACTCTGCCTCAAAAAAAATAAAAAAAAAGGTGGTAGGGGCCACTTAGGAAAAAGGAAAAATAGAGGCAGAGTAACTGAAATGGGAAACTTAATGGAAAAACTTCAAAGAATGAGACAATAAAGCCTTTCTTAGAAGGTTCCTCCCAGGAATGGCCTCAATGCTCGAACTCTTGCAGTAGTATTTGGCTCGCATTTTAAACATCTTAATTTTACCCACTGGTCTTAGTTAGAACCAACCTCGTACCTGTCTGCCCTGCCTATGAACACCTCACTCTTGAGAAAGATTGCTCACTTGCCTTATTAAAATGACTTAATATTATCAATATATTACATTACATCCATTATGTTAATACTAATATATATTATTAAGATGGATTAATCCAGATACTAAATATATTACAGAGATTTTTTTTCACCCTACTATTTATTGATGTTAGATTTCTGTTTTTTTTTTTTTGCTTTGATTGAAACCTTTTAATTTCATAATCTCATAAGCTATGTCAAGGGTGAGATCTCTCTTTATACACGTCCATGAAGCACCGGAATTTAACTCTGAAGCATTCTAGTCTGGTTTTCTTTTATAAGGAGAATTCAAGGATTCTTCTAATTCATTAGCTAAATCTGCAAAAATCTCATCTCTTGTTTCCAAAGATGTTGAACAGATAAAAACGAAGTATTTTCAGAAGACAAAGAAATTTTTTTTGAAATCCTTTTTTCTAAGCTTCCCTGGGAAATGAAGCACAACAAAATTAGACTAGCACAAGTAAACAGGCATGTGTCTTGAAATGAGTGAAATTAATGATAAGTTAGTAAATACAACACATCCTTCATATATATTTCCTGCCAAAAGCAGTGTTGGATTAGAATTCAAAGTTGAGATCTTACACGACTTTGAAAAGCATGGCATCCAGCAAAATGCCTAGCACGTAACTGTTGAATTTGACTAAATCGACTAAATTCAAAGCAATTAGCTAAGAAAAAACATCAACCTTGCAGTTGAACCTCAAAATATAGCATTTTAAGGGTGAGGTGGGAAACCCAAGGAAATCAAATAACTTTTGAAGAAAACAGGTGTTTTGTTTTTCAGCGCTAAGATAAGTTGTTTTTTTTTTTTTAAAAAGTTCTTAATTTTCAAAGTACTTACAGTGAAGAAACGGGTTCTGAGCAGGAAACTTCCTGTAGCCTGGGAGGGGACCTAACCCGAAGTGAAAGCTGGTGACAAGGCAGTGTATGCTACAAAGAACAATTTCAGAGGCTTTTATTGGCCAGTGTAATCCAGGCAGAACTGTCCCTGAACCTAGGTGGAGAATGACACTGTCTCCTGGCAAGTAATAGGTGTCCCTTTTCCTGTTGCTTTAGGAATACGCGTGCATCTTTGCAGGAAAGAGATTTCATTTATTATATGCTTTGGTTGTTTTTGCATTTCTGGCAGAGCTTACTGATTTTTTTTTCTTTTTTTTTTTGAGACAGAGTCTCACTCTGTTGCCCTGGCTAGAGTGAGTGCCGTGGCGTCAGCCTCGCTCACACCAACCTCAACCTCCTGGGCTCAAGCGATCCTCCTGCCTCAGCCTCCTCCCAAGTAGCTGGGACTACAGGCATGCGCCACCATGCCCGGCTAATTTTTTCTCTATATATTAGTTGGCCAATTAATTTCTTTCTATTTTTAGTAGAGACGGGTCTCGCTCTTGCTCAGGCTGGTCTTGAACTCCTGACCTTGAGTGACTTGCCTGCCTTGGCCTCCCAGGAGGATCGCTTGAGCCCAGGAGATTGAGGTTGCTGTGAGCGAGGCTGACGCCACGGCACTCACTCTAGCCTGGGCAACAAAGTGAGACTCTGTCTCAAATAAAATAAAATAAAATAAAAAAGACCCAGTCTCTACAAAAAATTTTAAAAATTAGCTAGGTCTGGTGGCGCATCCCTGTAGTCCCAGCTACTGGGGAGGAGGCTGAGGCAGGAGGATCGCTTGAGGCCAGGAGTTGGAGGTTGCTGTGAGCGAGGCTGACTCCACGGCACTCGCTCTAGCCTGGGCAACAGAGTGAGACTCTGTCTCAAAAAAAAAAAAAAAAAAGAGTCCAAACTGACTGTAACTCTTTAAACTTCGTGGGAATGGGAAACCGAAGAGTCTGTGTCCTCCAAATGTGGGGAGGCCGGCCTCGACTGACAGCAGGGTGCAGAGAGCAGCCCACGTAATCCCCCCCAAGCCACCCAGCCGCCCCTGGGGCAGGAAAGGAAACGGATAAAGGACATCTGATTTATTGCTGCCACTCCCTTGGTGAGGGAGAAGATAAACATTGCAAAAGCAGTATCCGCGGAACCGGCCCCTGATCCCGCCCTTGCCCCCTCCAAGCTCAGGTCGGCAACTGAAGTCGCTTTACGTCTGATGGAAACACAGTCCCAGGAGGGCACCGTGGAGAAGGTGGCGCTAGTCCAGCTCTCCCTCAGCCAATGCACAGCGACCAGGGACAAACTGTCCACTGGAGCAGCTCTCCACGTCCCTCGTCCGCTCCCACCTGCCAGCCCAGCCCTGCTATCCGTTGAAAGATCTGCGTCTACGACCGCCTACCCCGACCAGCCTGATTCGAAAAGCTACGCAACAATAAAAAGACAAACTACCTGGGACATGCCAGGCCTGTCATACAGCTCCGAGGGGCGAGCGAGATCCGCTCCAGGTCAGATTCGGCCATGGCTGAGCAGAGCAAGACCCGTCTCCTACTTAAAAAAGAAGTAAAAGATTAATGCCAATTAAAAATAAATAGAAAAAGAAATTACCGAGGCATGGTGCCATTCGTGTTAGTCCGCGCTACTACGAGGCTGAGCGGAGGGGACGCGTCGAGCTCAGTGAGTTCGAGGACCATGCTGACAAGAGCGAGACCTGTCCCTCTTACTTAAAAAAATAAACAGAAAATGAAGTTGCCAACTAAAAAGTATATAGAAAAATGGAGCCGCATCTGGTGGTGCATGCCTGTAGTCCTAGCTACTCAGGGAGAGGCTGAGCAGGAGATGCGCTGAGGCCAATTTGGGAGTCTGCTGTAGCGAGGCTGATTGTCACGGCACTCCTCTCAGCCCGGTGACAAAGTGAGACTCTGGCTTCAAAAAAAAAAAAGATAGTCGGACTCGATGATAGGAGAGGTAAGAAGAAAAAAAGAAAGAAAAATAATTATATTAAAATATGAGATAATAATAAAATAAATATTTAAAAGTAAAAATAATAGAAATAAATAAATAAATAAATAATATTAAAAAAAAGAATGGGGTCTTCTGTCTAGATGCAGAAGGGCAGGAAGTTAATGTGCTTTTAGGGGCCACCTAATAAATACACACCTGTCATTTATCCAGGGACAGGAATGTCACAACCTCTTGCACGGCCCCTGCCCATGAAGCCACCTTCTCCACGGTGCCCTCCTGGGACTGTGTTTCTCATCAGACGTAAGGCGACTTGCAGTTGCCGGACCTCGAGCTTGAAGGGGCCAAGGCGGAGATCCACGGACGGTTTCCACGGAACTGCTTTTTGCACATGTTTATCTTCTCCCTCTCCAAGAGTGGCAGCAGATAACTCAGATGGCTTTATCCGTTGTCCTTTTCCTGCCCAGGGCGCTGGTGGCCTCGGGGGGATACTGTCGTGGGACTGCTCTGCACCCTGGCTGCAGTCGAGCCGCCTCCCCACATTTGGAGGACACAGACTCTCGGTTTCCCAATGTCCACGAAGTTTGAAAGA